TTTTTTTTTTTTTTTTAGGAATAAATATATATTCACCTTTGTAATGAAGAGAATGGATACCGAAATAGAGCATTAACCACCTTGCGACTACTCCATATCGAGTAACTGCGAGAATTGGACATCTAGGACGATACATTGATAACAAAACAGCACTTCTTCCTGTTGTTGTAGTAACGATAATCGCTGCTGCATTCGATTTTAAGGATATGTTAACAGCACCAACTATGATCGAGTGTAAAGGGTCTATAGGTATTGGTACCTGAATAAAAAAAAATGTGTTATCATAAATTATGACATAAGAAGATTCGATATTCGAAAAGTTTTTCTACCTTGTAACTTAATTCATCGAAAATTTCTTTTTGCCATCGAGCACACTCAGCTTCTCTACATACGATGTCGATATTTTTTATCAATTGAGAAGTGTCATACATGTTCAAAGAACCAGTTTTAAGAAAAATCGCGTCTATTCCATTCAAAACAGCATTTGCAATTAAATTCATATTGATATTTATTTTATCATTTTCGTCACATACTTCGAATGATAATATGATTGGTTTTCCCATCTGAAGGAAAAATTAAAAAAAGTAAATTTGTGAATGTTAGAAAGTTGTATTTTTATATATATATATATATATAAATATTATAAATATTTTCTTATGATAAACTTACTTTTATACATTTTGCGATAATTATTTTTTCAACTAAAAACAGTTTTTTATCTCCTACTTCTACTTCAATACCTTTTCTGTCGAGGAGAATAGCATCAGCTGCATTCAAAATTTCGTCTAAATTTTCCAAACCTTGTTGAGACGAAATTTTTGCTATAACGCAAATTCTAGTAATATCTTTAAATAAAATTGATTAATTTATTCATTTATATTAATTAATTAGTTTAAATAATATACAGATTTTACGCATACTCATTTGCTTGAAGCGACTTTTAATAGTGTATAATACTTTCTCGTTACGCACGTGATTTATTATAAGAAAATCACATTCTAAATACGAAGCCCATTTTATGTGTGCAATATCCTTTTCCGAAATTTGTGGTAATGGAACTAAACTGTCCAATAATTGTATCAGCTTGCCATCTTTTATAATACCACCTTTGATAATCTTACAAGTTATAGCTTGCTCGTCTGTATTGAAAGAATTTTTATTTTCATTAACAATTGAATCGAAAGCGAAAAAGAAATCATTTTGTCTATAATATTTTTCCAATTTTAAAAATCTTGAAAGCTATTTTCATCTCTTGAAAGCATGAATATAGATATTTAAAAAAAAAAAATACCGTGTCAAATATTTTCTCGAGAAATACATCGTATTAAAAAATATCACGTATATTTTTTTTTTGCAATCTATGTTTTATATCATAACATAAAAAGAACTAACGGATGCAAGTGACTTGTAATAAAACGGCTCCTCTATCGATTAATATTCTATCTCCTACTTGACATATCCTAGGTAAATTAGGATAAGAAACCCAGAAACAGGTTGCACATCCTGCACGTTTTGCAATATCCTGTGTTACCAATTTTACCATTTTACCCTCTTTTAATTTGGCAAAACCCTGTAAATATAAATATTCGATAGATACACATTTCATTTCGTAATTCCGGTAAAATTTTGATCAGCATATTACTTCAGTATATATATTTATTTAAAAATTACTTTTTATTAGAAAATATATAAAAGTGATAGATTTATTTTAAAATTATAAGATAAATATTAATTAATAATTAAAACTAATATGAATTTAATTCTGATTAATATCGTACTAAGCTTGTTTTATCGCTGCGGAATGCACCAGCCCTTATTTCAGGACCCTGAAGATTTATTGCAACTCCTAAGGGATAAATTTCGCTCGTGAATTCGTACATTGTATTTCCCGCTTTTCTGATAGATTGTACTGTGGCTGTATGCCACTTATCCGTTTCATGCGCCATGTTCAAACGAACTATATTTGCACCAGCCATCATTATGCTAACGACAGCTTCAGGATGAGAATTCCTTCTACCTAAATTAAATAATACATGTAATTTGCGTGATATACAGAATATTTAGAAATTAGTAATACAATTATCTCGAGTATTGTAAGTGATATTGATATAACTAATAATTTATAATTTTTGTTTTTTTAAAATATCTCTAGTTTAATTATTTCTTTATTTTTCATAATTGGAAAATTGAATACAATTACTTATTTACCCAATGTAACCATAATACGAGTAAGTCTTGCTAGCTTGGGATTGGAATTGATATTAAGGTTTATGTTATGTTCGAGACGCGTGTTTTGATATGCTGCCTTTATTTGTTCGTCTGATATATATTGATCTTCGAAGTTTATCATCTACGTATTAAAGAATAAATCTATATATATCAATTGTCAATGTTTTCTTAATTTAGAGGTTAAAAAGAAAAAAAATTTTGATAGAAAGATAACATAGTTTATATTTAATTTCGATTATATTAAATTAGAAATTTAATATAAGTTTTTGTTAAATTATTTAAACAATTATTATTTCTACTTATGTAAAAAATACCCATGGCATTTGATGACATAATTTTTTCCACGTGTAAGTTCCTGGTGAAGAATTATTGCATATCATTATGTAATTGAATATTAGTTATTAGAATTAGAAGTGTCAAGGCCTAAATATATGTATTTGTAAAAATTGTAATTATAAATTATTTGTCCATTTTATCGGTGATTTTTTTTATAGATTAATATATAAGGGGTTAAGTTATATGTTACGGATAAAAAAAAAATTTGAACACTGAATATTTTAAATATTTTTTTATTCAAGTAGATGAAACGTGTTTTAAAATTTAGCACGAAATTTTAATCAATATTCAAAATTTATTATATTTTATTGATAAGTCGAAAAATACAATTTAATAAATATTTAAAATATTTAACAAATTTTTCTAATATCTTACATATAATAAAAATGATGGACAAAGTAGAAAATAGACTTATCATCTTATGATTTCATATAATCAATTTTCTGAATTACTAATAGTGAAAGAAATCAATTGATACATCACAGTGATCTTAGTAGAATCTTTTCTATTCATCGTTACTAACGGATGGAAAGCTGTTGAATTATCGAGTGCCACGATATTATCTACGAACGATAAGTATCTCGACATGAATAATCATATTTATTGTATAAGTGTTTTTTTTTAATAAACCTACACATTTTTCTTTGCACTTCAATCTCTTCTTTTTGAGAAGTATAGCATTTAAGAAACGAACGTAAACATAGGAGTAGAATCAACAATTAAAAGAAGAAGATTCCACCAAAAAAATAAATAAATAAATAAATAAATAACGAAAAAGAGAAAAAGAGAATCAATAATTAAAACTATACTCTCTGTATCCAAAAACTTAAATGTATAGATGATATAATTAATATAAAATAATATCTGCTCGTTTAATCTATTCTACATATTCTTCTACAATATAATCAGTCAATAACATCATAATTAAACATTGTATAATTACATTGTGTAATACTAAATCTACAATACTTTCTTCGCTCCTTCCAAATGAAGCGAAGATTTCAAAGCGTGTCTTTTGAGCAAGCACGTTATCGCAAAAAATAAAACAATTTAAATATCTCGTTTGATTCGTTTGATATTTCACAGATTTCTGATAACGAAATCAAGGAATGTTGGAATTTGATCGTTATCACGTATAAAATCCTTGGGTGTGCGATATCGTTTTGTGGCACGGACGTGAAAATATCACGGAGCGGGCATCAAACGGTGCTTCAAGGCTGACCTGGTATAGGTACTTATTGTATCAAGTCTCGTTAACGGGAGATGTTCATTCACTCGCGCTCACGGATGACAAGTGCGGTTCGTGGAACACGAGGCGGTCGTATTGACCCGTGTCACGGAGCGACAGAGCGGAGGTGTCGGTGAGAGATCGGTGCGTTTCTTTCTACGATCGTAAAATGTGCATAAATCTGTGTAATTGTCGCGTAATGAAAACTCGAACTGTCGTGCATCGACACGTGTGATAAATATGGCAGCGCTCGTTCGTCTTAAACGTGGGAGCGTCCAGTTGAGACATGCGGCGCTTGAAATGAAAGGTAAAGGGGAAAATCTTTCTCGAGGAGATATTAATTTGACAGGACATGATTATTTAGATCGGGTAGCAGAAGCTATAAAAAAAGTTACACGATATAACGATAGGGTTGAAATAGTTATTTAAACACAGCATTACATGTAATTACATATTTGTAATTTAAAATATATGTTGTTATTATAAGAGTATTTCTTTAAACCAGAGAACAAGTTTGTGATATATGTCAATACTTAATAAAGTAATAAGATAATAAATAAATATTGTATTAGACTCGTAGTGATTAAAACTTGGAGATTTATGTTTGTATATTAGATTATTAATTGCGTATCTCAATTGTAATAATTTTTCCCTGTTTTTCTACTCGAGATGTACACGGAATTTTTTATTCTATCTTCACTTTATAAAGTATACGAATGAAAAATGAAGAAGGAAATTCCTTATCATCGGATATTTGTTATTTTTTAAGAATCATTATTTGTACTACGTTTTAAGGAAACCAAAGTCGAGGTCGTTTGCATTGCACGGAATAGTAATGAGATAATAGGGATAGAATCGTACGATAAAAGAGGTATGCACACGTCGATTTTGCTCCTTTCGACTATCGTGAGATGGAAGAGTTCGTTAAAAGAGGTAAAGTGCAGTTGGTGAAACGTAGCAGTGTTCAGATAAAGCAAGCCGCATACGAAGTTCGAGGTTCGTTCAATTAAGATAAATACGATTTAAAGTAATAAATAAATAATAAATTGAATTTTTTATCGATAATCTTAATAAAAATAGACGTTAATTTATACTTACGTTATATCGAATAAAAAATCAATCCATTCTCATTTCATATTTTTATTATAATTAACGTTGAATTTATGATATTTTTCTCTATAAAAAAATATTAATATTATTTTTACAAAAGAAAAAACGCATGTTCTTCCAAATTTGTTATCGATAAATTGATATTATACAATGGATAATTAGAAAATATTTCCTTAACTCTGAATTAAAAACCGAAATTATGAAATCTATTGTTTAATCAATTTATCAAAAACAAACAGTTAGAGACGATGTATAATAGCGCTGATAATGTATGTATACAACGTGCATAACAGTTGCTTGCTGTCGCCTGATAATACGATAAAAAGAATTAAAATTATTTTGAGAATAGAATGTACTAATTTAAAAATATCACATCTACACATCGTCTGAAACTTTATATAAATATCTATAATAACTTATATAATAAAATATTTTCGAATATTATAATTTTTTCTAGTAAAATAATAATAATAATAATAATTTTTAAAGTTTATCAAATATTGTTGTTTAATAATTGATTAGCGGCTGTACGAGCGCGACACATCGTTGCTGCGCTTGTTGCAGTTGGATTTGCACTTTGTGGCGCGGTGGAGGTGAGCTCCTCGGTTGCATTACTTGCCAATCAAAAAGATAATCATGCCATCATTGACACATCGTGGCATTGTGAAATGCTGGTCAACATCAGTAGTCGTAATCGCACCGAAGACTTTGAAGTTATATTAATGGAGGTAAATGTATTAAATATTTTTTATATACTTTGCCGAGGAACACTTTTTTTTTAGAAAAAGGAATGAATACTTTGCAGTTACCACCCGAAGAACGTGCAGAATCTATAATGAGAGAAGCGTTTTTGTGGGGACAAGTGGCAGGTCCGATTTTAGGAGGATGTTTAGTATGGGGAAGATCAGGTCCATCTATGGTGTTCTCACGTGCTGTTCTTAGTGCTTGCTTGGCATCTTTATTGGTGCCAGCTGCATGGAGAGGCCCGTCTCATGTAGCGCTTCGTTTGTTTCAGGGATTATGTACAGTAAGAATTAAACGAAAGAATATCATGTTGAAGTTATAATGTGCATATAATATAATTTTAGAAATAAATAAAGATAAAAATATTATAGGATAATAGAGAAATCGTTAATCATTGATGATTTCTCATTTGCAGGGTGCAACTATGCCTGCTGCTCACATGCTCGCTATGACTTGGTTTAAGAGCACTCATAGAAGTTGGTACTTCAGTTGTTACGCTGGTAAATTTTTATTAATTTTAATATCGAAGTCTAGATATATATATAATTATATATCTCTATAACGATATTAATAATAATAATAAATATTACATTTGTTAACAGCTGTCAGTGTTGGATACTGTCTCACAGGATGGATAGGAACAGCCGTCGTCCGAAGTTTTGGACGAGATTCGCTTTGTTATGGTCTCGTTTGCATTGCATTATGTTGGTACTTCTCTTTTGGTCGATTCGTCAAAGACACACCAAAGTCCTACCAGCACGACACAAATGTAAGATCAAATTTTCTCTTTATCTACTTTAAATGAACGATTTTCTTTTTGTATCCTTCTTTTGACAGTATTTAATTCAGATTATTATTACGACATAGAGAGAAGCTAATGTTCTACGAATATTACACTGCTAATAATCCCAATACCATTGTTTTAAAAGATTAATGAAGCGTTAAATGAATTATTATGTAAAATGAATTATTTCCGCGCTAAATGTTAAATTACTAAATAACGAAAAAAAAATTATATTAAAGAAAAAGGAACATTTGAATATGAAATAAATAGGCAGCTGTGATTCCATGGGGGAAATTATTGCGATCCGTTCCTGTTTGGGCATCCGCAGTGGCAACGATGGGAAATCAATGGGGCGATGCAACTCTCGCTCTTGGTATGACGAAATATCTGAAGCTCATTTATGGATTCTCAACGGCCAATGTGAATATTTTTCAACGATATATACTTAAATGAATTAAAACACATTCGATCCTTCGTTTTATCCTGCAAAATAAATGTTTATCTTTCAATGATTTCAAGGATTCTGTCCTGACGACGTTACCTCACATCGGACATTTCATGGCTGCTTTAACATGTGGTCTTCTCGTGGATCACGTTCGTGAATCGAAAATAGTTTCTACGACCACGGCAAGAAAATTGGTCGTTTATACTGGTACGTATTCATTAATCAATCAATTTATTAATCATCATGAACAGCTATCTATTTCTTAATTTCATCGAATTAGATTTTTATCAGAAATTAAATTAATTCGTTCTGTTTTTCGCAGCTCATTTTATACCAGCTGCCCTACTTTTCGTCGCTGGTTACGCTGGTTGCCAGGCATTAGGGGCAGCCTGGTTAGGGATAGCCGCCCTTCTCGTATCTGGCACCGCGCCAGCAGGAGCTTTGGCGGCCATAGCTGACCTAGCTCCTGTAGAATCTCCAGCCTGTGCAGCGGCTGCGTGTGCATTGTGCTCGACTTTAGGCGCGGCAGGTCTATTGGCCGCTAATTACTTTGTCACTCAAGCTCTTCATGGCTCTGTAAGTTAAATTTGATGGTAAAATTTTTCTCAATTCATATACACAGATATTTATTATTATTAGACAGACGTGTTCCAATCTCCGTTTTAACGTCTGGCTTCCTCTTACAAAAGTAAGACTCTCTCTGTGGTAAAAATACCACAGGAAACATTAAACCTTTCACGCTTGTTTATGTTAACGAAACCGCAATAACAATTTTAACGATCCTCCAATTCTAACTTCCTTACAGCCCATTAACTGTCGGTTACCAAGTGTAAGTATTCAAACTATCCTCCAATTAAAATCCTATTACATTTCGTTTTTTTTCCTTTTTCCCCTTTTTTCTTCAACCGCGAAATCGCTCGAGTAGAATCACTTAATAATTTAACCACCTATTCGTTGGAATATTTTACATTTTTTCATCAATCTTCATTACGGTAAAGAAGAACAATTTTTTTTTTTTTTATTTTAGATAGCCGGCTCGTGGCGACTGGTGTTCGGTGTCGCCTCCGTCGTTCTGTTAACGACTGCCGCGGTTTTCTTGGCGCTTGGAAAAGGCACGCCGCAACCGTGGATACCTTCCGTGGCACGGCCACGGAGTCACGATGCAATTTACGAGCAAGACGCGTTGGAGCTCGATTACGAGGACGTGGCCGTGCAAACGGAACCTTTCAATCCTTATCCGCTCGAGGAGGACGCCGAAAGCGCGAGAAACGTGCCTCGTTCCGCCTCGGTCCACTCGGAAGTTTCGCAGGCGTCCACCTAGATTCACGGTCATACGTGAGAATTTCGATATTCAGTTCAGTATTTTTTTTTCTTTTTTGTATCTAAGGATTATATTTCATATTTCGTTAATATTTGTACAAAATATCGAGGAGTTATTTTAAAGTTTTAAGCGATTGCGGATGTTTATGCAAATTGTTTAAGTTTAATTATACGTGTACGTTGCACATTCCTTTCACGTCTATTGTTTCACTTTTTTGTGGTTGGAGTCAAACGGTTGTGTGACGCTAGTCATATATTCAGAAGCGAAACCGATCTACTTTATCGAAAAATTTTTCCCAATTTTAGGCGCTTAAGTTTTAAGAAATTGGACGATTTTATCTTTCTTAAATATTCTCAAGATATTCGAATATTAAAGCAATGGATTGAAATAAATTAGAAATTTGATCGATTTCGCGTTATTACCTTATTAATTATTCACTTTTATGTTAGAGCGCGATAAATACGCTTGCGTAAAGCGTCAAAAGTAAAGTAAGTTGTATAGAATATAGCTCTCTCTTCTGATATTTTACTACACGATTGTTACCCAAACGTATCGAGATCATATCATATCCCTGCGAATTCCCCTTTCTTTCTCTTTGTCTCCGTGTTTCTTTGCCGATCGTGAATATGTATCGTGCACGGATACGACAAGACAATGAATCCATTTTAAGTGTGTATATCTTTTACAACTTTCCATTACAAACGACGAGGAAAGTGGATGAAAAGAACTTGTTGCTCCAATTATATTGGATGGAAACGACCTCCAACTGTTCTTATTTACCTAGGTGGTCCATATTAAAAAATACGCTCGTTATTGGCACTGTTCACAGGATACCGGAAGTCACACAGTTGCAAACTATAGGAACACGGTCCAGTTGGCGAATACCTCCTCGTTTCTTAACGACAACCTTTCACGCGTGCATCCGGTCCCAGTAGAAAAACCGAAAGGTTGCCTGCTATGAAAAAAATTCTTTCCTCCATTACCGTTAAACTATCCGTTTCCGTTCTATTTCTCGATAAATGCCCAGTTATTGTAATCGATATCAATTTCACGATATTTGTCGAATGTTCTTTAATTCTTAAGTGAAGTGAAATTTTTTCGAATTCGTGCACGGATTAATTTATCGATGATTTATCTCTGGGACGAAGAAAGATATTGTTATAATAATTCTCAAATATCAAATATTGATATCGTTTTTGTATGTAAATCGAAAATTTTTTGAATTCGTTTTAAAATTGATTTTATTGGATATTCTTTTGCAAAAGTCAAAAAATATTCTTGAAGTTTGTGCGATATATTTCTATGGAGATTTGGCAAGAGGTAAAAAGAAAGAGTACGTGGAAACTGACGTGCAAAATCTCATGATCTACGCTCCTGTCGTGTAGCCAACGCGACCGTCTAACAAATACGAGTTCTCGTATCCAGCAGCAAAGTGTCGCAACCCGCGATGCTAATTACCAACAGGTAGGCATGTTATTATTCTTTCTGGTACGCCGGCTCTCAGAGACTTATGAAATGAATTTTCACACCATATAGTTTATATCTACCATCTATCTCGTTTTTATTTCGATATAAGTACATTACACTAGTTTTGTATAAAATTATATTTACAATATGGAATGAAGGACGTTAATTTGGATACGTTCAATATTCAATTGAAGTAAATTCAAATTCGAGTTATTGAATTATCGGTAAATTTAAAATTTAAAATTGCAATACAACA